CACAACCTCCCTGGGCAACCCATTCCAGTGTCTCACCACCCTTGAAGTAAAGAATTTCTTCCTTATATCCAATCTAAACTTCCCCGGTTTAAGTTTTAACCCATTACCCCTTGTCCTGTCACTACAGTCCCTAATAAATAGTCCATCTCCAGCATCCCTATAGGCCGCCTTCAGATACTGGAAGGCTGCTATGAGGTCTCCATGCAGCCTTCTCTTCTCCAGGATGAACAGACCCAACTTTCTCAGCCTATCTTCCTATGGGAGGTGCTCCAGTCCCCTCATCATCCCTGTGGTCCTCCTCTCCACTGGTTCCAACAGTTCCATGTCCTTTTTATGTTGAGGACACCAGAACTGTACACAAGACTCCAAGTGAGGTCTCGCAAGAGCAGAGTAAAGGGGCAGGATCACCTCCTTTGACCTGCTGGTCACGCTGCTTTTGATGCAGCTCAGGATACGGCTGGCTTTCTGGGCCGCGAGCGCACACTGAAGCTGGCTCATGTACGTTTTTCCATCGACCAACACCCCCAAGTCCTTCTCCACAGGGCTGCTCTGAATCTCTTCTTTGCCCAACCTGTAGCTGTGCCTGTTTATAATACATAGTATGATACATTTACTATGCATTTATCACATTGAGGTACCTAGTAAGCCGCTAGTAGCCATTTCATTACAGATTTAATTTGTATTTTATTTACGGTGAACATTTGTAAGCTGCCTCTTACAAACACATTCAGCAACTGAGAAGTGCTGAAATATTCTTAGGGTCTTCTAGGAAGAAACCTAAGTTTAAGCCCGTTGCTGAAACCTTGATTTTGCAGATGGTCCCATGGCTGAAGGAGCACTTTCCAGATGCTCTGTGTAGCACACAATACGCACACAAACTTCCTGTGCAAATTCAAATAAACTAATAAATAGGTAATGCTGGTTTTAGAAGACTCAAGATCTTCTGTAAGTATTCAGGAGCTCCATCTGCTGGCAGTATTTCGTAGCTGTTTGCATCTATACTGAGTCCCCATAAGACTTTAATAGCTTAAAGACTATTATAAAGCTTACAAATGTTTTCGTAAAACTGTCTCTTTAATTTCAATTTCAGGAATTGCCTAAACACTTGGTTAATTTTATACTTGTTTCCAAGAACCTATGTATCAAATTCAAAGCCCAGTTTTTTACTGATAGTGGATAATCATCTTGGTATTGGAGATGTCGGTTGCGATGGCAATGATACAATAAGGTAAGAATGTTTCAAAAAATAAATTTTCCCTTCCTGGTGAATTTCAGTGAAACAAATCTGATGACACTTAGTATTAGAAAATACATTAATAACGGTTGGAACCAGATGATCTTAAGGTCCTTTCCAAACCTAACTATTCTATGGTTCTATGAATAATGGATTAGTTTAGGTAGATCAATCTCTTTTCAAATCATGTACAAAATAAACGTTATACAGTAATTCCTGCTGGAGTAATAGTTGTTATTACTCAGCATGCTTGAGCAGCATTCTTGAATTTCTAATCTTTAGCATATCCAGTCAGAACTTTGCAAATGTCTGTACACTGCACTTGTCAGGCGTATAATTTATAGTTTCCACAACTCCAGGGTTGAGATATGAAGGACTGAGACTAGGATTTAATATCATCTAACAATTCCAGTAGGCTTGTTTATGAAATGACAGCTCAGTTTATGTGATATATTTATCCCCAGTGAAGTCAACAATCTGTATATAGATTAGTTGATAGAATGATTGTGCATCTATATACATATATATGTATATCCTGCATTTAACCTATTATACTCTTGGAAATTGTGTTGTACTGCATCTATTAATGGATCATTTTTCACCATGTTGCATGAGCTTTAGATATGGGATAGACCTGAAATGCCTTCCCCTGCCAACCCGCCCACTCATTTTATTAATAACAACACATGCATCCATGGAAAAATAATTTCTAAGTACTCAAGGTATCTCAAAAAATATGCAATAGAGCTTTTGCAGATAAACAGAGAGCTTTGTAAATTTGATGGTGAGGTCCTTGACAAAACTAGGAGTGGGATACTACAAACTTCTGTGTGATACATTTTTATCAGAGATGGGATTTTTCTCTTTAAGATCCCTAATACTGATGGCTTGACAAAGGTCAGAGTGAGACTTTCTCAGCACATTGCTATAGCTGCTGTCTGTACTCCAAGCAAAGCAGCTTTCCTGACTGGCAGATACCCTATCAGATCAGGTTGGGCCTCTCTCTAATGGTTCACTGCAGATTGTCTAGCCATTGTTGCTATTAAAAAACGCTTTGAATAAACCACTTTAAGAATCAGTTAATCTAAGGATTTGGGATCTCAATGATGGGCAAAACTAAAGATGACCTGATTTAGTGATTGATTTCTGTGAGAAAATCCCCACATAAAGCACACTCAATGTGGCTAGATGACAACAGAAAAATGGGTAAAAATCTAAACAGTGAAAAGCACCCAGAGGTAGAAGCACAAAGAAACAAAATCGTGTCAACACTGTATGTTCAGTGGTATTAAGATTATATTAAGTGTAATATCTTTAATATCCTGGCAAAATTTTCATAGTGAAGTGTGTCAGACCATGGAAGAGTTCTCCACAATTACAGTTTAAAACAGTTTTACTTCAGCCGTGTAAATTCCTGACAGAAAACTTTAGCCACCACATATGGCAGAAATAATTAGTGTAGCTCCTCTGGTGTGATTTTTGACTTACTAAAGGAGAAATGTAATCATGAACTGTACACTTCAGAAGTGGGTACCGCTGACTCTGTAAGTCTCTTATTCTATTTAAGCTTCTTATATTTTTCACCCCTTTTCCTTTAATGTTGTGTTTTATAGAATCACAGAACAGTTAGGGTTGGAAAGGACATTAAGATCATCTAGTTCCATCCCCCCTGCCACAGGCAGCAGGACCTCACACTAAACCATGTCACACAAGTCTCTGTGGAACCTGACCTTGAACACCATCAGGGATGGAATATTCACAACTTCCCTGGGCAACCCATTCCAGTGCCTCACCACCCTTGCAGTAAAGAACTTGAAGCTTCCTTATATCCAATCTAAACTTCTTCTGTTTCAGTTTTAGCCTATTACCCCTTGTCCTGTCACTACAGTCCCTAATGAAGAGTCCCTCCCCAGTATCCATACAGAATCATAGAATCATAGAATAGTTAGGGTGGGAAAGGACCTTAAAATCATCTAGTTCCAACCCCCCTGCCACGGGTAGGGAGACCTCACACTAAACCATCTCACCCAAGGCTTCGTCCAACCTGGTCTTGAACACCGCCAGGGATGGAGCATTCACAACCTCCCTGGGCAACCCATTCCAGTGTCTCACCACCCTTGAAGTAAAGAATTTCTTCCTTATATCCAATCTAAACTTCCCCGGTTTAAGTTTTAACCCATTACCCCTTGTCCTGTCACTACAGTCCCTAATAAATAGTCCATCTCCAGCATCCCTATAGGCCCCCTTCAGATACTGGAAGGCTGCTATGAGGTCTCCACGCAGCCTTCTCTTCTCCAGGATGAACAGACCCAACTTTCTCAGCCTATCTTCCTATGGGAGGTGCTCCAGTCCCCTCATCATCCCTGTGGTCCTCCTCTCCACTTGTTCCAACAGTTCCATGTCCTTTTTATGTTGAGGACACCAGAACTGTACACAAGACTCCAAGTGAGGTCTCACAAGAGCAGAGTAGAGGGGCAGGATCACCTTCTTTGACCTGCTGGTCACGCTGCTTTTGATGCAGCTCAGGATACGGCTGGCTTTCTGGGCTGCAAGCGCACACTGCCTGCCCATGTTCATTTTCTCATCAACCAATACCCCCAAGTCCTTCTCCACAGGGCTGCTCTGAATCTCTTCTCTGCCCAACCTGTAGCTGTGCCTGGGATTGCTCCGACCCAGCTGTAGGACCTTGCACTTGGCATGGTTAAACTTCATGAGGTTGGCATCAGCCCACTTCACAAGTGTGTCAAGGTCCCTCTGGATGGCATTCCTTCCCTCCAGGGTATCAACCGAACCACACAGCTTGGTGTCATCAGCAAACTTGCTGAGGGCGCACTCAATCCCACTGTCCATGTCAGCGACAAAGATGTTGAACAAGACGGGTCCCAACACTGATCCCTGAGGGACACCACCTGTTAGTGGTCTCCAGCCGGACATTGAGCCATTGACCACAACTCTTTGTGTGCGGCCATCCAGCCAGTTCTTTATCCACCGAGTGGTCCATCCATCAAATTGATGTCTCTCCAAGGATGTTGTGTGGGACAGTGTCGAACGCTTTACACAAGTCCAGGTAGATGACAACAACTGCTCTGCCCTATCCATTAGCTCTGTAGCCCCATCATAGGGGGCCACCAGCTTGGTCAGGCAGGATTTCCCCTTAGTGAAGCCATGCTGGCTGTCACCAAGCACCTTGTTGTTTTTCATGTGCCTTAGCATGCCTTCCAGGAGAATCTGCTCCAAGATTTTGCCAGACACAGAGGTGAGACTGACTGGTCTGTAATTCTCTGGGTCATCCATTTTCCCCTTCTTGAAAATGGGGGTTATATTTCCCTTTTTCCAGTCATCGGGAACTTCACTTGACTGCTATGATTTTTCAAATATGATGGCCAGTGGCTTAGCAACTTCATTCTCCATCTCTTTCAGGACCCGCGGATAGATTTCATCAGGTCCCATGGACTTGCGCACGTTCAGGCTCTTAAGATGGTCTTGATCTTTGATAGCACTTCAAGTTTTGATAGAACTTCAGTTGTAATGCCTAATGTCCAAACACAGCCATCTTAGTGCCATTTGTAGACACACTACCATAGCTGAGGCATCTGCTATGTAGGGCTTGGAGGAAACATTGTTCTGGGGGTCAATCAGAATCAATCTGGGGGCATACTAAATGGCTTATAAAAAGGCTCTATGCTTAGGTAACTGTTTGTGCTAATGCATAGGCTTCAATCTGAGAAGAGTGAAAATCTGAAATCTTGCTTCTTTTATTTTAAAGACTGCTGTTCTTCCCTAGGCACAGCATCCTGCACTGACCGGTGGGCTCCCTTTTGGAAGGGGTGTTCTGGAGGGCTCCCAACAAATGAAATTGCTTTTAGCAGGATACTGCACCAGCAAGGTTATTCTACAGCACTTGTAGGTAAGAGACATAGCAATTTGCTGCCTTTCTATTGTTTGCTATTCAAATGAAGCTGCTGCTGTAAATATTTTTCTTTGCCAAAATGTCTAGGATCATTTGAAGTGGAATTACTTGTATGCATAACTTTCAAAATCAGCAGGGTTTTCATAACACCATCCGCAAGCCCCAGTGTCAGCACAGCATATCTGAAAAATCCAACGTGGAGATATATGGAATATGTAGATGTACACTGCAAACACGAACAAATGCAAAGGAAAGAATCTTTTTTGCCCAGTACACATTGCTTTAGGAAGAACAGAGATGTTCACTGATCCATTATGGTAGAAACATGTTGTCTGGTACCCAGATACCACATTGGTCTTAAACGTATCTGTTGGCTACATTTTCTGCTTATTGATACATCCTGTTTGTTGTCACAGTTTAGCTCTAAAAGTAGTTTACTTCTGAAAATGAGACTCTGACAAGGAACAGCTGAAAGAATTGCATTGACTTCAGTGGGAATCCGGTCAGAATACAAGTCCAAGAAGAATAATTCTATTCACTCTTTGCTAAATTTGTCTGAACAGCAATTAAAGGCTGGGTCTTTCAATCACTTGTCATTTTTAAACTTTTTGATGTAAATGATGTCATGTGCTTAATTGTAATTACCATGATTTTCACACCTCTACTTGGCTGCAGCACACTGAGGTGTCATTTAGCTCCTAAACTGAAGTCAGCCTTTGTGATATGCTGACTTCACAACAGCTTGCGCAAAGTGGTGAGCTTTCCCTAGCTCACTGCAGTCTTCTATTGCTTATGCTGTAAACTACATTCAAATACGTAAGTGTAGAACTGGTTAGCAGTTCTCAGAAGTTATTTATCTAGGTAACAGTCCCTAAGCCTATCCAGCCTTCAATGTCAGGATAATGACACTGCTCTGTAATATGACTTCATTAAGGTTGATCATCACCGTATGACATACTCTGATATGTCCAATTGTACTGGGTAATTGGAATGGCCTACTTTTGTTACTCATTTCAGGATGAATATAGACACACAGAGCCAATATGTACACCTTCTTCTCGGAATCTGTTCCTTGACTGCGAAGGTCAGATAGAATTTGTGCATAAATTATTTCATATTTTTGTGCTTAGCTGCTTGTTTTGGCACAAGGGTTTCTCCCATCAGGTGACCCGTTAATGTGAAAAATAATAAGCATCAATTATTAGAACTTCTTATTCAGGGAAGCCTCTGAGCTGGACCACTGCCCTGTGAGGAATTTTAACAGATAAGTGAGGAAAAACAGCTGTTCTAGGCAGACAAATTGCCAATGCACAATTGTTCCCTGAGTTTGTCCCCATTCCAGACCAGTTCCTCCCTTGGCTGCACCTTAAGCAAGGAGTGCAGCCAACCCATTAGGCATACAGGCAGACACACCCAAGAATAACGATGCTGGATTGAAGATCTTTGTTTTATATTTTCAGGGAAGTGGCATATGGGTCAGAACTGCAAATCCCACTGTGATCACTGCCATAACCCTTTAAATCACGGCTTTGATTATTTTTATGGCATACCTCCCACCCTTCTGAATAAGTGTCAAGGCACAGGTGACCATGAACTGGCCAAGTTTTCAAGATACATATTGGCTTTATACTCAGATGATCATCCTTTCAGTGCTTACTCTTTTGATTGGAAAACTCACCAATTTATTCTCAGTAAAATGGAAAATAATCGTATGTCTGGCCATCTGTGGTCTTCTGTATTTCATCTCCCGGTTCTCCAGCTATGGTTTCACTAAGTACTGGAACTGCACCCTGACGAGAAACCACGATATCACTGAACAACTGATAAACCTAGAGAAAAAAAAAAAGTTTTAATATGCTGAAGGAGGCAGTTTCATTCATTGAAAGGTAACAAAAAATTGTATTGCCTTTTTAAGGATTTTTAGAAATAATATCATGACTGTGTCATACACCACTAGGTTAGGCAGCTGGCATGTGCTGAGCTACCTGTCCGGATGTTGGCAAGTACTGTTCTCCTTGCTTCTGAGAGTCTGTCACTTTTGGCTATGAACTTTCCCAGTTATTTAATGTTCTACACATGTCTAATTTGGAACAAGAAAGAGAAAAGGCCCATTACTATTTTGGTCTTAATACAGAATCAACATCTTTGAGGGGTGTTTTAATCCACTTTGTCTCCCAAAACCTCAAAACTGCACAGATGTCAAAATCAAAAATTTTTGATTTAGACCACAAATATAATTTTTATTGTGATAGTCACTACAATATCACTGTTATACTTTGAGTTGAGTGAGTTAGCAGAGAAATTACTATTTTCTTTCATTTCACAACCAAACATAAAAAAAACTTCTTCTTGTTGTTTTTCTTTCACATGTTCAAAACCCTCTCATGACCACAGAGAAGTTTCAGGGAAGAAGCCAGCATGGCCTAAATGGAGATAATGTAGAGCAGATGAACTAGATGGTGGGTAAGTGGCCATCTTGAAGAAAATCCTTCATTCATTTGAATGTGAAAAAGAATGTAAAGGGGTTGTCACAGAATTCTCTTTTTGCCTTGTACACACAGTTAGCTCCAGAGGATGCCAGACCACCACCACACCTCTTTGCTTTGGGTTTGTTTTTTGTTTTTTGTTTGGGGGGGGGGTGTTGGTTGTTTTTTTTTGTTTTCTTTAAGATGAAGGCTCAAATTTCCTTCAGAGGATCTGTTCTTTTTCTTTAATGGACACACACCTGTGCTGTAGCATTGAATGCAGTCAAACAATCAAACGTGCTTGATCGTGCTGTTAATCAAAATGTATGACATTCATCCAGCTCTGTCTAGTCTCAGAAGATCAAAATGGTTCTGATGATATTACATTATACAGTGGCTGATTTGTGTGCTTGTTCATTTTTATCAAATAATAATCTTTGAAGCATAAGCCAGAATTCTTTCTTGGTCAAAAGATCAAGTTAAAAAGCTATGGAGTTTCACTTGATAAACTGCGTGAAGTCAGTACATCATGAAGACTCTCTGCAGTCTAAATCCAGACTCGAGTGCCAATTAGGTTTTTAAACCTAAGCCTCACTTTGTTGCTCCTTTTTGCTTCAACAAGAGGGAGCTATGGAAGCTGTTCTTGGTGAATATGTTTGATGCAGAAGCTGATGAGGACAAGCAATCAAAGATAAATCACATCCTGTATAATCATTTGATGTTATCAGTACTGAAGCATTCCTTATGAAGTTAGGTTTGAACTGCAGTCTGAAGTTTTTGTCACTGGCATCAAGAGAAGATTTTGGTTGGTAGTGTGCAGCCTCATCTCAGAGTCCCTTTTCAGTTCCTGGTGTGACACAGCAGTTTTGGATGATTAGGAATCTAGGCACCACTATTAAGCACTACTTAAGCTTTTCAGAATGCTTGAGGCTACACAACAGATACAATCCTTAACTCAGAGAATTTACAGCATAAAGCTGACAGTATTCTGAGTACTTTGAATAAAAGGATCATTCGTTTATATTATTTTACAGCTGTTTTGGGGTTTTATTTTTCTGGGTTTCTAGACATCATGAACAAATTTTGGACACTTTTAGCAGTTTTCCATTGGGCTCTTGTTATTTCTCTAATGTAGGATTATACTTTGCATTGCTTGTGGTATCTCATAACTCATTCAGGTTAATAGAAAGACTTGGTCTTCCTGAAGTTTGAGTCAACACCTAAGAAAAGTCTGACTGCATTTCTGGATATAATTTTGATGTTTTGCTTTGTTTATAGCCAGACTTCTGGATGTTATTGACAAAGAAGGCTTGAAGAATACCACATTTGTTTATTTTGAATCTGATCATGGAGGATTCCTAGAGGCTCACAGAGGAAATTCTCAGTTGGGTGGGTGGAATGGGATCTATAAAGGCAATTTTGGTAGTGTGTGCATGCATAAGACTTCCTCTTAAGAAAAGGATAGAATAAAATACATCCAGACAGACCATATTTACTAAACTATGTGCTGGGATGATAATCTTGGATTGCAGGGTTGAGGCAAATTCAGGACATCAGTGATTCATCTTTCAGTCCCCAGAGAGCATCACTTTGACCAAAGCTACTCCTGACAGCTATATTTTCTAACCTATTCTTTAAACACCTTTAATGATTTCCCAGATAATCCAGTTTTCATTGTCTCTGCTAGTGAAGTTTTTTTCCAATCCTACCTTGGATTTCCTTGCTGCAGTTTAAGCAACAGATCTTGCCCTATTCACCAACCCGCAGAGAACAGATTCTGTTATATTCCCCCCCGGTTCATCTTTTCCTTGGACTCCAGTAGTACACTTGTACCCCCTTTTAGTTCCACATTGCCTTTAAGACTACTAAACCTTGAAAAGCCACTCTGACAGCTTTGGCAGCTTGGCACTTACTGTGTAAGAAAGCATGAAAACTGCTCCCATTAGTTATTTCCCTACAGAAGATTTGGGTGCCTTGACCTTGCTCAGCATCAAAATGCACATTGTCTAGTACTAAATTACTTAATGAGCCATACAAGCAATGTGTGATACATCTGGGATCCCATCTGGGAACAGTCCTAAATGTTATATTAGCCTTCAGTTCTGGATATGAAGCTTGCTTACCAGTAGCACATGCAAAAAGGCCAATGAGCTCACTTGAATAGCTCAGAACCTAACCTAGGGGATTCACTTTGACTACCCTAAAACAAGTATATCAGGAACAGGAGAGTTCGGAGAAGAAAGGTGAATGTGATTATACGGAGGTTTCGGTGTGAGAGGACAACAAAGAAATCATGCCTGCTTAGAGACAAGAGGAGATACAATATCAGTTTAGAGATTAATTACAGAAAAGCATTCCTATTTTTGTCCACATACAGCAGAACAGGGGATGACCCACTAGATTAAAAACTCCAGTGTAATTCATAAATATCTGTATAACTCACTGCTGAAGTTGCTAACAGGATATTAAAAACAAGAGGATTAAATAAGCCATGTATATGAATAATGGTAACAGCTGCTGATGAGTAACAAAGCATGAGATACCATTATCTTACATAGCATGAGGATTAATACACAAGCAGCTGGACTTGCCCTGTTTATAATCTGTCATGCCACCTTGTCAGCCTTTCAAACCAAGCTCTGCCTCTTGGCTGTAACTATGAACACACCTCTTCCATAGCAAAGTCGGGTGCTATTTAGCAAAGCAATAAGCTAGTATAAGCTATCATTAAGCTGGTGATCTATTAGCTGAGCTAATAACGCAGCTTCAAGTTTTGTTTGCCGCTCCCTACAATGCTTTCCAGCAATGACTTGTCATTTCTGCCCCTGATAGGAGGAATAACAGAGCAAAGGTCTTATAGGTGCCTGGGCTGCAATATTTTACAATTTTTTGTTTTCTAACTGGACCCTCACCTTGCAGTCTTGTGGTTTAGCTACATTGTTTCATATCTGTAATCATTTAATGGTTCTCACTTTGAAATACTATTTGAAACAATGAGTATTTTGAATTTTAAGAGGGCCAATGGAGAAGCAAATTTAGAAGACCAGAGGGATGGAAAAGAAATCAAGCTAAAACAAATAAATTTTTGTCTTGAGGTAATCCAATTTCAATAGAAATTGCAGTGGGAAGTCTTCATTGCTGCAGCATATTCAGAGCCCTTTCCAAGACTAGATGCCTGGTTCTTCATGAGACGGAAGGTGGAGCAAATGGCATGTGGCCTGCATTTGGCTGCCAGTACCTGAGAAGTAGCTTCCTCAATAGTAAACAATTTGTAGCATCTGTGTTAGACTCCTCTACAGAAAATGAGAAAGCATGGGGGGGCTAAGCCATTCGAGCAAAAAGCATAAAAAGTGCTGGTGGTGTGTAACTGTTAGCCAGTGGATTTTACTTTTTTCCTCCCTTCCCCAAAGCCTTGAGCTTCCAGAGCTATCGGTGACTTCAGTGACTTCCATTTCAGGGAGCAAAATTGAAAGCTGTGAACCATGCCTTTGGTATGATTATCGCTTACTTCCAGGAAAATTACAGTAATGGTGACTTATCTCCCCAGGCAGGATGTGTGAACTAGCTGTAATTGCAAAAACTGTTAGTAACTGCTAATCACTGGCCTCCACCCATCCACACAATTAAAAATCTCAGGGCTTATTAGCTAAACAGTAGCTTGGTTTAGAAATGAGACTTGAAATCCTAATGCAGTACATGTGGAGAGTGAGTATTCTCACACTCCAGCTGCAGGCTGAGATTCTGAAGCAATTTGGAGAGTCCATCCTCTCTGTCACGGTAATCGACACCTTGTGCCTTTGCTGAAGGGACAATTCAGCGCTCCAGACACAAATTCATGTTTCACTGCTGTGGTGTGTTTCTGCATGCAGTGCAGTGGCACCAAAAGGACAGTGAGTATAAACATCCCCCTCCTGCAGATCAGAGATGAGGCAACGACCTCTAATTTCCAATAGAATGTCATGTAAAAGCATGTGTACATGTATCTGGCGTAAGTTTACTGCTTCAGTCTCCCAGTTCTTCTTCAAGATGCAGAATGGTTCTGTTGTTAGCTATCCTGCCTTACCTGAGATGAAGGGCTTTGCTTCCTGGGTAGCATAGCTTGAGGCATCTCCCTGTTATTGCAGTGCTTCTATTGCTTTTTCTGTGGAAGCATTTAGGATCAGCTTTAGCACAAGATTTGAAGAAAAAGAAATTACGCACATAAGGTCTTTATCTGGATCAGTAGTTTGTTTTCTATAGTCCTATGTTATTTGTTTCAATTCTTTTTCAGCCATGGCATTAGACAAGCTGGCTGCAGCTGTAACACTTTCCTGAGCTTTCAACAAGCACCCAGACTTTGCTCATGTCACCCTCCATTACAGTGTAAAAGAGAACAGGCTGGTGCCTGGTTACCTGAGTCCTCCTTCCTGCTCACACCGGAGGATGACATTTGTGCGACCAAATGCAGCTGCCTGGGTCTGAGCTTGTTGTTTTACAGTCACTGAAGAGATGCAGATGTTTACAGGGTGTGGTTCACCTCCTTCTGCTTAACACATCCAGGCTAGATCAGTCACCCTGTTTCTCGTCACTGACTGAAAAGGCAGCCAAAACTGACCACATCAGACACAAAACCCACCCATTTTTTTACTTAGAAACATACATTAACTTAAAGTTAGTTGAGATTAATTTCATCTTCTGTGACTGAATGATGTGACAGTATGTGATGATGTGACAGTAAGTTGATGAATTCATGGTGATACTGTACGCAGGTTTTTTTCATTCTCACAGCTGGAGAAATGCAGAAGCCAGTGGAGCAGGCTATGCCTATTCCTCTTCCCATTCTGTAGAGTAAGCCATAATATGACATTCTCAGCAATCAGTTTTGGTTAGGGGTTATCTGTCATGGTCTCTTTTTTTCATGAAGCACCTTTACTTGACTAAAATACGCTAGAAGCCGCTGCAGAAGGGACGGGCGCCGTCCTTCTCTGGTGAGCGCTGCCGCAGTAGCCAGCATTGGAGCCGAGCGCTGCAGAGCCGACAACAGAACGCGCCGCCAGGGGGCAGCGCTGCACCGCCAACATCCACAGCAGCCGCCGCGGAGCCCGTCGGACCCTCAGCGAGCGCTTTGGCAGAGGAGCGTGTAAAAGGTAACATGGAATCAAAGCTTCCAGGTTCTCCGGCGCAGGTCGCTGCCTCGCCTTTCGCTTCCACGTACACTGCACGAAAAGCCACTCACAGCTGAAGTGCAGAGCCCAGTTTCCGCAGGCTGAGAGCTGTGCTCTGGGCAGCTCCCGACGCAGCTGGGCTCACAGCACCAGGAGCCCTCGCCGGGCCCCCTCTCTGCGTGCAGTGGTTTCGTTTCCAAAAGCACTGTGACCGCTAGTGGCTGCCTGAGCAGCAGCCAGAGCACCAGGCCAGAGGTTTGAGCTAACACTCAGCAGCAGAGCAGGACATGGCCTGTACCCCGGGGAGCATGGTGCTGTTGCCCATGGAATCCATAATAGCAGAAACCTGAGCCACGGTCTTGAATATCTCTCCCTATGTATCCAGTACTTGACAGAGCAGTGATTTTGAGACTGACAGGAAGCTGCCACCAGAGATGTGGGCAATCAGTGTCGGCACCAGACAGAGCTGATGAGAGGGGAGGCTGCAATGCAGAGCTCGGAGTGTAGGGAGTGCCTGCACTGGTCTGGTGAGGGGAGGGTGCACAACGGGCAGGGCTGCACTCGGTGCTCCCTGGTGGAGGTCCTCCTGCAGCAGGTGGCTGAGCTGCGGGACGCTGTCAGTAGCTGAAAGGTGTCAGGGGAGTTGAGAGAGAGCTGGGCTGCTTGATCCAGGCCCATGCTGTGCGGGGGTCACAAATGTCCACCATAGCACATACAGAAAATGAAGACCAGCTGGATTGGCCAGGTTAATAAATGGTTATAACAGTAGTGCCATAGTCAGGAGTTTGGGTATTTAGAACATGGGACTTAATCTGGGAGGCCAGGTCTACTGGAGGCTGGTGGAGCTGGTCAGTGGACTTCAGCCTCTTCAGGAGCCTGCTTAGTAAGCTTCAATGGTGTAAAGCTCTAGAAAGCAGAGAGGATCAAGCCTGCTGGGTGATATTCAAGAATCACCTGCTGCAAGCTCAGGAGTGTTGTCCCCCAGCTAGAAGGAAATGTGCCAGGAGATCTCCAGAAGCTATCAGGAGAGCTGGCTACCCTGGATTTGGAGAAGGCTGAGGTTCTCAATTACTTCTTTGCCTTGGGTCTTCACTGGTAAATGCTCTGACCACACCACCCAAGTCTTGGAAGGCAGATGCAGGGACTGTGAGAATGAAGACCTTCAGCCCACTGTAGGAGAGGATCAGGTTCAAGACCATCTTAAAAATCTGAACATGCACAGGTCCATGAGACCTGATGAAATCCATCCGCAGGTCCTGAAGGAGATGGAGAATGAAGTTGCTAAGCCACTGCCCATCATATTTGAAAATCATGGCAGTCAAGTGAAGTTCCCGATGACTGGAAAAGGGGAAATATAACCCCCATTTTCAAGAAGGGGAAAATAGATGACACAGGGAATTACAGACCAGTCAGTCTCACCTCTGTGCCTGGCAAAATCTTGGAGCAGATTCTCCTGGAAGGCATGCTAAGGCACATGAAAATCAACAAGGTGCTTGGTGACAGCCAGCATAGCTTCACTAAGGGGAAATCCTGCCTGACCAATTTGGTGGCCTTCTATGATGGGGCTACTGAACTGATGGGCAGGGGTAGAGCAGCTGATGTCATCTACCTGGACTTTTCCAACCCTAACTGTTCTATGATTTCCTAGTGAAAGGCTAAATGCATACTCCAGTAAAAGATGAAGCTGAAGAAATGATTTTCAGGTTAAAAACACCTGTTAATTTCTGGGTTTCTTAGGCTATATAAGGTATGTATAGGTGACAATTTTAGCTCAGACCAGAATTGTACTTTTGAAGCATATCCCTCAAGTATATCCACTCATTGCGCTTTGGGCTGCATTGTGGAATGGGCTTGGAGATCATAACTTTAGATGAGACTAACCTGTAATACAGTCTCAAGTATCATACCTAATATGCTCTAATCACTAAAAATATTGTACAGATGGGACCAGACAAGACTTAGCCCTCAGCAAAACCCCAGTCAGCCCTCAGACAAACACAGCATGGATGACATAGAAGCCATCAATAACTATTCTACTCTATAGATCAGTTTCCAATAGGCCACAGTACCAGTAACACAGACAATGAAATATGCAGGTGCAAGGTATATTTTGTGTTCCTATGAAGCCACGCGCATGGCTCAGATATCCTGTGTATGCCCTTCTGCAGTTTTTCCCCATTGAACCACAAGTGCTCATGACAAGGGTGTTGAAAACAAGACCATGTTCTGCATATGAAAGACTGGATAATCAAATATTACCATGCAGCCCAGCTGTCAGCCAAGCCAGAAAAGCTGATTCTTTGCTCCCACTGCCATTACTTCTGATTGGGCTGCCAGACATTTTAGTCTCTTTTAGCTCATTTACAAGTATACCATGTTCGTATTGCATATTTATTGTCTATTTACTTCTATTGGACAGGCTAGATATGAAGCCATTGTCACTTGATATCACCCAGGCAGTACCCATCAATTAAGCCCTTTACTGAAGCCAGAAGAATCTTTTGTCTGTGTGTTAAAGTCCTTTCCTGTATGACAGAACAGTAAGGCTTATTAGTGACAGTCCATTTCTTTCTGCTCGTTAAACTGATTGATTGTTACCAGATGGGTTTGAGGGATGTTTGGATTGAAGAAGCAGGTTTCCTTTCCCTTAGACGTTTATAAACGTGTTGCCCTGAAATTCACATGCATCCTTCAAATTGTGTCTGAGCTACTTCAGTGGCAAATTGCATATTCCTCTTTGCCTCTTGGAGATGAGTGAAACCCCTGTAGCTTTCATCAGTGCTAATTTCTGCCATCTTCGTTGGGGTTTTTTCCTCTTTCTGTAACCCAGCTGCCTACTCAGCTCACCAACACAGGTTAATTACAATTAACATCACTACATCCTTCAGAATGAACTAACAAGGACCTGGTGCACTGCAACTCCAGTAATTATTTGCAGCTGTGATAAGAAAATTTCTTTTTCAGAATCGGAACCATTCTCCTCACTTTACACTCGCTGCTCCAAATTACAGCCATAAGTTATAAGGAATTCAGCCCAAATATTTATGGAAAAACAATGACTACTTACCTTGGTTTTTCTGACCATCAATCGCAAATTCCTATGTATTAGAGTACTTGAACAGGGCCAATAAATAAGCTGGAAAGGGACCTTTTACAAGGGCCTGTAGGGATAGGACAAGGGGGAATGTCTTTAAACTGAAAGAGGGGATATTTAGATTAGATATAAGGAAGAAAACACCAACGCAGATGGAAGACTTTAATACTGAAAATCAAAGTACAGACAGCTGAAAAAAGCTGATAGTTTTCACATTCACATGACTGCAATCATAGAGAAATATGAGTCAGATTACACTGGAATAACCAAAAGGACATTATTGCTGCTTATTGTCCATCCTTTTCTCTTACCCACAAAAATTCAATAAACCTGTAGTTTAAAAAAAAATAAAACTGCTCTGAACGTATTCCACCTCTGGGTGACCTGTATAATCTATCCCTCAAGTGCATAATTCTAGATCTTATACCCAAACAAATGAAACAAAATGTCTTGCATTACTGATTTTCAATTCAAGTAAATTATGAATTATAAGAAAGCAAACTTTAATTGCCACTGTTTTTACAGGTAATATACTTGTTAAGGCAACAGGACTAAGCCCAGGAGGGGATCTCTATTCAGGCCTTACCTTAATGAAAAAACTGTCCTGTATCTAAAAGCACAACTGCACACTTAATTTGGAAATACACTAAACCACATTGGGCTGCTTATTTACAGCAATTTTTTTACTCATTTGTACATTGATTTATCTATCATAAAATAATTCCCAGGAAATACTGAACTAGCAAGTATGTGTTAAAACACAGGTAGCTAAAGTTATCATTTCAGGCTAAGCAGCAAAGTATCTAGCTATTTTGAAATGCTAAAGCACAGCAATCCCTGCTGACATACCTTTTCCATGTTGTTAGGTCATCTCACTTGAAGAGCATTGAAAATCATCACTCAGCTGCCCTGACAAGAGGGGTCCCAAATTCCATGAGCTGTGAGACCAATTCATGCTCCACATGTCCCACTTGAGTGACAATGCTCCTGATTTCATGAGAGTGCAATTATGCCCCATTGTTTCATGAGACAGCACTTTTGTTTTTCAGTAGGAGGTGTTAAAACAAAAAAATCACTGCACACACTAATCACTTCAGTGTACAGGTCATCTTCTCCAAGTCAAACAAGTGTCAGTACTCTATACAGTCATTAGGGAAAGGGAGGGAATTCATCTCTCTAATCCTGTCTTGCTGCCCTCAGTTGCATAAATTAATCTTTCAGTATTAATTTATATTAATATATATAATCCTAACCATGCTTTTGCAGAAGTTTTGTATCAAATCCATTTTTTAAGTGGAGGTTCCTACATTTTCTGCTTTAAATAAATAAATAAAACAAGTAGGTTGTGAGAGACCTTAAATCAAGCCTGAGACTCTTAAGTCAAGCTTTTATGTCTTCTTGAACACCATGTATTCACTCCTCCCACACAGCTAAAGGTCACCAGGATTTTGAAAGTAACAAGGGATGGTAAGAGCAGCACAGCAAGCACTTCAGGTGACTTGTTTCCCTGAAGATAGGTACCCTGGAGAACCACACTAGTGCAGCTCTGTTCAGTACCAAGTTTGCCTACGTTTCATTTGCCTCCTTTAGAAACAGGAGATAAGGATAAGGAGGCCATAGCAGCTCATAATCCCAGAGCAGCACACTGCTCTATCATCTCTTGAGTTGCAACAGCAGATCCCAGCCCTTTTCCCCAGCCTCAGGAAAAATGGATGTGTGTACCTGGATTATGCACCTTTTGCAGTGTTTTCAGGAAAGCTCCTGACTTTTACCACCTCGATTGGTATGTTACCAGTGTGGTAAATCCCTGTTACTCTGTTCTAAACAGCACAGGTTGTGACAGTGATGCAGCATCAAATGCAAGTCTCCAAAAAGCTGTCTAGGCATTTCTTCAAGTTGTTTCCTGTTTCACCATTCCTCTGAAAGGTCACCAAGCAAGTTATGTGGAAATTATAAACCGATAGGACAGATCAGTGTCAGACTTGACAGAAGCATCCAAAAATACATTTGTTCTTACTGCTTGACAGCATTTAAAACCACATCAGAATTGATAAGAACTTGCCAGATTTGACGTTTCTGTGGCTGACATGGACTGAAAGCAGAGCAGCCACATTTCGCTGGATTCATGCAGAAAGAAAAGAGCATAAAAGACCACACATTTTAAAGACAGTTTGACCTATTCAGAGCTGGAGAACAAATCATACTGCTCATTGGGGAACAAAGCCAAAAGCTGTTCTCTAGAGTCAAGCCAGTCAGTTCAGTAACATCTACATTATCAGTTAAGCATGAGGATAAGCTTTTCCTCAGTTTACCCCACTTACCCACTTCACCCACCCCATTTATACCCAAGAACATGTCCAGTCCTAAACTAGGCCACCATCAGAGCATTTACCAGGGAAAGGGAAGGTGTTCAAGCACCTAGGCAGCACGCAAGCACAGTTCCAAGCTCTCATTGACAGACTAGGAAGCCCCATCCATCAGCAAAACCCCTCCACTACATCTCCAAGCACAGTGAAAATGCTTTCAACCCAATTTTAAATTTAGGGTAAGATTTAGCAACATGAGCTAAGTGCAATTGGATTGGCTTATACCATGTCCATCTTGCAAGCTTGCCCTTCACCTCACAGGAAAAAAATTACCCTATGTAAAAATAAACATTAAATATTTGAGCAACATCTCACTCTTCTGAAAGGTAAATTTATTAAACTGCCATATAAAGCCAGACACTAAGTACTCAGGTGAATGTATGTGCTGCCTTCCTGATATCCAGGCACAGAGTATTTAATCTTGTCTGGCATCTGTGGAAAGCCAGATGGGCTTTCAGGCAGGAGGGGGAGGAAATAGGCTTGGCAGCATAGGAGTGACTGGCTTTTGTCAAGTAACCGTTAGAGATCTCAACAAGGCATAGGAAAATGGGCTCTCCCCACAGACAGGAAGAGGAGGAGGGCAGACAGTGCACATGGAGGGAATCTGCAGGGAGGAGGAGAGCAAAGTAATGGGAAATCAATCAACAAATAGGATGTACAACTTCACTTCAAAAAACACGGGACAGGAAGAAAGACTACTTTCAGTTCTAAATGCCTTTCAAAGTCTGAAGCTAAATGTATATTAAAAGGTGCAAATTTTGAGAAGATGCAGCAAAAGGTGCAGCAGTAAGCACAGAAAGGAGGGAAATTAATTTACTCATTTCCTGCAGATCCTAGCCCTGGATGATTGCAGATCTCTTTCCATGTACAGTCTAACCAGAACATGCAAGCTCGGCACAATCTATAATACTCATCTGCCAGAAATGTATATTCCTGATAAAGCAGGTGAACCCAGCATCACACTGAACAGTTGTCCTGCTGCACACTTCCATGTAAAATGCATCAATAGGTAAAAAACTGTTAGCATTTGAATAATACTGAAATAAATAAACTCTTAAGTCAGGTACCTAGGGTTGCTTGAAAAATCATCTGTAAGTTTTTTGCAAAATACATGAATGTAAGAATAAAAACTAAATTATATTCTGTCCTTTCTCCCTTTGTAGAAGGGAGCAATCACAGCATAATGGCTTCTTGGGAAAACCTGAGGCAGCCATCAAGCAGTGTTAACCATAGGAGAATGTGCCTATATATGGTTAAAACATGGTTCCCTCTACAGAGAGGGAAGCACTACTCTGTAACAAATAAAGTTTGTTTTTACTGAGAGACCTGTGGCTGAACTGTATGTATGTTTGACACCCATGTTGTATGAAGCTGACTTGCACCTAAATAGTGTGACCATTACTAAATGACATTTGGAATTGCTGTATTTCTCTGACTCAAAAAAGTCAAGTCTCACAGTAGCGTGACAATACAATTCTAACAGACCTCACTTCACCATGTTTAAATATCAGACACGTCACTTTGCTGCCTGCTAGGATCAAAGAGAATGGCAGCACATGGATCATCAGATCATTTTGAGGATACAAAATAATTGTGTAACAGAAACTGAGAAAAACAATTGAACTTGAAGCTTATCCAGCTTGAAATTCCCGAGGACTCCTGAGTATATTTGAGAAGTATGTATGTGAAATGACCAAAAAGGAGGAGTAAATACAAAAAAACTTTTGCTCACTACCAGTCTGTAGGTTAAAATACACACACACACATATATGTAGTGTTAAACTGAATAAAATATGGCAGAATTTTTGTAGAATGTTTGGTTGTAACATTGCATCTAAACAGCTGTAAGAACCAAATTTATTAAAAAACTGGTTTGTCTTTGAATTACTGCATTACTAAGATTTTTTTGAAAACAAGAAAAAATATTAACTCCCTCCCACCCAATGTTTCTGAAATAAAGGGGGTTCTATAGGTTCCAAACAGCCCTGGCTTCTGTTCTGCCATTTCTCCAAAAGCTGTAAGTAAAAGATTTAGAAACAAAAAGAATTTATGGAGGTTAAAAAAAAAAAAAAAGTCTTTAAACAAAACAAATCATAAAAGAGGTACCCCCCACACACACACACTACAAGCAGTTTTGTTCCAAGTACTTAATACTATAAGGCGGCTTTGAAAGTTTTATTTCTCTAAAATAAATCACCTGTTTATGATATTACACATCTAAAGGCAAAGAACTTGTGTTTGTTATGGTTCAGAACCACGTACAGTACCATAAAAGGGAACAAACACTTTTCCAAGACAATTAATGTCACACCATCCTGAAGTGGGAAGAGTGTCAAAATAATCCAGGAGACGCAGTCTCCAACTTGTGAATTTTAGGGTCTTTTTCCCCTCCAGTTTATTGAAGTTGAAAGGGTTCTGACAACCATCAGAGTAAAATTCAGGAAGAATGCTTGCAAAGCTTTTTCCCCTCCCTTTACCCCTTTATTCATCGTATATCACTGTCAGTCTTCTAACAATTAGGTTTTATAATGTTTCAAGTCAATTATATATCATTGGTTTTGTTTTGTTGTGGTTTGTTTGTTTGTAGGGAGTATTTTTGTTTTAACTACCTTTGCTATAATGATGGTATGCTGTTATTACAAGTTGGAAGTTTATACCAGGATGCAATGTATTGTTTGAGCGTCATCCCTTTTAACTGTCTGCATCAAAGAAACTATTACTTATGAGCCAGCCAACAAGATGAGCAGAATTTCAGCTGAAGCATCTTGCAACGAATATACTGAAAATACAGATTACTTCAATGACCAGCATTAACCAACAGAGAATCAGAATAGTTTGGGTTGCAATGAGCAGGGACGTACATATCCAACTAGATCAGGTTGTCCGAGCCACATCCAATCTGGCCTTGAATGCCTTCAGCCTTACAAAACAGCTGCTATGAACTCACTGAACAAGAGAGACAATTTCTTTCTTCAGAACAACCCAGTTGGACAGGTCCCCCAAGACACCAGGCAGTAAGTAGTGATATTTCAAGAACAATCTCCTTTTCCTGTAGGCCAGGAAATTGCATTAACCCACGTCTAAAATTTTCCAAGAATTTTTCCTGTGGCACACCCACACTATCTCCTCTTTATACACAAAGAGCTCCCAGTAAAACTGTTGTATGGCAAATAAAATTACCCTCTAATTCTAGCTGTGAATAACTCTAAGCACATGACAGGAGAAGAATCAGCATGTTTTAAGCACAAACTGTCCTGTTTAAATACAGTCTGCCTCACAGCAGTAGGTCAGAGTTGGGCCTCTCAAAATCCTTACAGCTGCTTTTCAGGTTGCTAAGGCTTAAACAACACTGACAAAACTGTCACACACATGCACAGACCAGCTGGTAAGAGATCTGCAGTGGTGCTCATTTTAACATGTCATTTTTCCCCCTTCACATTTCATTCAGGTTATTATCATACAGTGTCATCCAAATTGCCAAAGTGAAATACATTTTGTTTAGGGAGGAATGGTGCCACCAAAAGCCTACATTTCTTAACTTTCTTTACCCTAAAAATACCTGGGGCTATACCACACTTCAACGGGGAAGAAATTCTAGGTGAAGCTTGCCAACCTGTGGTTCATGGCAACAGACAGCCCATAACACCCCCCCGATATGCTTGTGGACCCAAGATTTCAGAATGTCCAGAAAAGTGAGGAATGCTGCCCAAAGCACAGCACTTGAAAATTCTGTATTCATTGGAAGAGCTAGGATTGTTCAACCTGGCAAAGAGAAGGCTCTGGGGAAATCTTATAGCAGCCTCCCAGTACCTAAGGGGGGCCTACAGGAAATCTGGAAATGAACGTTTTACAAGTGCAGGTAGTGACAGAACAAGCGGAATGGTTTTAAACTGAAAGGGGATAGATTTGGATTAGATATTAGGAAGAAATTCTTCATTATGAGGCTGGTGAGGCACTGGCACAGGTTGCCCAGAGAAACTGTGGATGTCCCATCCCTGGCAGTGTTCAAGGCCAGGTTGGACAGGGCTTTGAGCAACCTGGTCTAGTGAAAGGCATCCCTGCCCATGGCAGGGGACTGGAACTGGATGATCTTTAAGGCCCCTTTGAACCCGAACCACTCTGTGACTCTATGATGATTCTCCCTTCTCACACCCTGGTGATAACAGTACTATGCTAGAATACACTCCGACACGACATTATTTATAACTAGTTCAGCAGATTTTGAGTGAAGACAGTACACAAAAGCTCAGGCAGAGTTCTTAACCACACTATACTTTTCCATGAAATACCGTAAACCAACTACTGTTGTGCTAATTCAAGAGATCCTAAAGCTTATAATTATATATGTCTGTATAAGTTATTATAACTCACACCTTTTAATTCTGCTCAGCAGGTACTGATAATGTCTCAGAAGCAATTTAATAAAATGAAATAAAAAAACATTAAAGTAACTAGTCACAAATAATACTTCCCAGCATCAATAAACAACCTGTAACACAGCACCATTTGATAAACACAACTTCATATGTCCTTTCCATTTCTATTTATTTCCATGACATTAGTGTACTACAATTCTTTACAGAACATTGTATAATTCACTCACAGTACCATTTTATATATTAACATTTTCAAATGTATTCCATGACAGCTCCTTTTACTACATTCATAGGCCTATTTTCAAACATTTCAGCTACGATTATTTTTCTCCCATAATCTAATTAATGTGTCCTGTAAGATCTCATAGTTACTGTAGAAAGTACAGCTGCATGATGCACGAGTTCATATTGTTGACTACAGTTTTACACAGTCTTCAAACTGTTTGGATTATAATAGCAATAATGCTTATACAACAGAACTTTCTCAGAAGTGCACAAATTCACTAAGGAACAGGGATACTTGGCAGATGAAATGCTACATGAGCAGGAGTACCTGCAGCTGCTATAATCTCCACATGGTGCTGCACTGGGCCACACACAAGAGGTGTAACACCTACTTGTGTTATCACACAAAGGTTACCTACCTAGGAGAGGTGGGATGCTGAGAGTCCCTGTATGATCAATGGAGAAATTGAGAAGAACCATCTTCTGGACATCTCTCTCTTTGACTCCAGAGACCCTAAACATCTCACTTGAACTAGAAGCTTGAATTCAGCTTGAATTCAGCAGATGCATCAAAGAGATGCCCCACTTTAAGAGTGCTTAGAACAAATGAGAAAGAACTAGATAAAAATCAGAAATATCCCACAAAAGTAAAAGCAAATCCACTATTTTGAAGTAATTCTAAAATACTCAAAGATCATTTTTCTTCCTTTAAGGGACATTTTGACTTTCTTCCTTTCCTAATTTGTGCAAGTTCTTTCCCCCACCCCTTTTTTGATGGAGAAAAAAGAAACAAAAATTCCTTCCCTCCTACCCTTCCCATTTCTCCATTAGCATCTATGGCAATCCCTCTGATGCATAACATTACATCATTGTTTTTTGAACAGATTTCCAAAGTTATTTCATTAGGTTTACCTGTACACCAAAACTGGTGATATATTAAGACTGAAATGTGTTTTGAGCCCTGCATCAGCACTGAAGACATTATTCTTATTCTAATATTGAGTGGCGTTATGAATAACTGTGTCAAATCTGTTATTACATTGGCAGGTCTGTCAAGCTCCTTTCTTTCAAAGTGTTCTTTTTTTCCTTGTTTGTTACGACACACTTGCAAATATTAGTCAAATTCAATACCCAAATTCACCAAGCAATCTCCCGTGAGTGTCCTTAATACAATGGAGTCTCATGAGTAAATTTTTCTGGAACTACACTCAGATTTATTAGTTCCTACACACAGCTATTGTTTAAAAGATCTGATTAAAGGACCTGTTTACTAAAACAGGTGTCAATTGTGCTTTCAGTGGCACTCAAATTGCCTGTAATAAGGGGCAACCATGCTAAAGGAGAAGAATGCCCTTGTCAGCTGCAGTTTGAAGTACTGTAAACTAACTGACATAAAATGCCAGAAGGTTTACACCATAGTGTCAGCAGTTCTTCCTCTGACTACACAACACTGAATTCGCAAGTAAAACTAACAATATTTATAAAAAAAAACGTTATCCTATAGCAACAATATAAAAGGTTAACACACATTACCAGTATATCTTAAGATAGGTCACACTGATGATGAAGCTGAACAGTTTCCTGTAAATAGGAAGAACATCTACTAGAGATCTCAGATGAAGTCTGAATTTCCTCTAATCCTAAATATACTTAAATTAAAAAGTTTTGCTGCAGACCCCATGAGGTCAGGATTTCATCTCCTCACTTTTTCATGCTGAAGGCTACGCTATGGCTGCCCTTGAAAGTGTCAACTTGGTTTCAAGAACAAAGCTTTCATTAGAATAGTTTTATAGTTTCTTCTAAAAGTACTTTTGAAATAATCTCAATTTGGGAAATAATCTCAACTTCCAACATTTCACACTCATGACTGCTTTTGCAGAATGCTATGGGGAGGACCAGGGAAGAATGATAAATGTGAGAGCTCAAGGTCAGATGGTACTGTTCATCATACTTCAGAAGGCACTGCAAGAGAACAATGACAATGACACACACATAACAATAAAGATGAGGCACACTTAAGAGTTAAAAAAAGAGTCTGTATCTGTTAATCTTACGCCAGAATATATGAGGATCCATATCTACCTCTAAATCTGGTGTCAAATGAACTATGAAAATAGCCATGTATTCAAGGATTGCATTTAAGAAAGAAACATGGATTGTGATGGCCATTACAGTACACTCCATCTTAATGTAAAAATGAATCCAATTTCTTTTTGATATGTTCAAAAGCATCTTTCCCCATATAGTCTATTCGGCCTTCCTCCCATTTCTTCCGTTCATCTTCTGGAATTGGTTCTTGTGGTTTGAAGTGAATAGACAGCTCTGAAATGGAATGTGCGACTTTGTTCTGTGGGAAGAAGAACAGTAGAAAAAGTCAATTGGTTGATGTCTTTTCAGTGCTATGAAGTTAAACCTTAAAATGTCAAACTTCTGTTTTGTACACTCCCAGTTAAAACAATAAAACAAACAGTATTCAAACATTAATTCCTAGTTTGATAATGTGATCTCATTTTCCCATGCTTTTACTACTTGCCATAGCATCTTTGAACATACCAAGCATTTACTTTACTTGTCTTAAATCAGACCTTGGCATACTCAGCAACAACATAATAAGAATGTTACAAATATAGCTTATTTAGAGCATCTCCTACAATAAAGTTAACCATCTATCTGTGCAAATTTTGTCTTTCATGTGAACATAAGTTCCTAGAATTTTTAGTCATGTATTTTATCTGATCTCCAGTGAGATAAGTATTGTTTAGCAGATGTTGGTTGAGCTATGTACTGTACTAGATACAAGTCCCTGCCACCCTGTCACCCCTAGCAAGTCTGGCACTGGTGTCACACTGACCAAAGATACATGTCGTGCAAGATCACAAAGGACAGCCTAGCAGCTTAGGCTCCATGCCTGACTCGCTGTATGCTTATTTTCCATTTGCTTGGAAAGATCACTTCAGCAGGTAAAAAACCAAACCAAAACAGAACAAAAAGATCCCAAACAGCTTTGCTTATATTAGTATTGGAGAGCTACATGCATAACACCATGCATTTATTACTTGGGGGCTAGCACAGGAAAATATACATTTAAAAACTAGAAGTTTTTTAAAGAAAAACCAGAAGTTTTTTAAAGAAAACCAGAAGTTTTTTAAAGAAAACTAGAAAGGGATCATGTTCCAGTATTGGAAGCAATTAAAGAATTGCATATCTAAAAAAGCTTAAAGAATTTATTTGCAGATTGCATCACAATTAGTTGAGATTTCCCAAAATGATGTTGGCAGCATCAATTGCATGTTATTGTTAATTGCATGCAATTATCTACAGATGTACAGTGCAGAAAGCTACTTATACCAGTCCTGAGGTTTCCTGAAATGCAGGACGAAAGACAAGTTGTTCTGAAGGTCTGTCAGGCTCAGAGGGATGGACGTTAAAACCGCTTTGTTCAACTTCACATACAGGTTGCTAAAATACAGCCACTGAGGTTTCATTAGGATAATATTTTTTTCATAGTTTCCTTATAATAAGAACTCATACAATACAAATCAATTTTAGTCTTGGGGTAGGGGAAAGCGGTGAATGAGAAGAAAAGGAATGAAACATGTTATCACCAAAGACAAAATTCATCTTGCTCAGATTTAGCTATCAAAATGGCATTGAAACCAAGCTCCTACTAAAATCAATCTAGGATAAGTACCTCCAGAGGGCATCTCATCTCATTCTAAAATAGGTTCAAAGTGGCTGTCATTCTCCAGTGACAGCCTGGAAAGCTAGCTTATAATAGATGCCTCCACTCACAAGGCCAAAAAAATCTCATTTTAGTATAATCGCTCTATAACTCATGAGGCTTTTATATGCATAGAATAAGAACAGAACAATGCATTCCAAAACGGAGGCAAAAGAGATTGTCCAAAAAACACTGCCAAAAATATTTGTCTTTGCCAGATTTCAAGACATAAAAGAGTACACAGACCCCAGTCTCTTCCACCAAAACAAGCCCAGAAGACTAAAGCTGAAGCGAAGCAACAAAAAGTGGAATGATGGTGTTCCTCAGTAAGAGAATCAGAATATTAATTTCTAATTAATACTATCTTCTCATAAACCATTCCTAGTAATTAAAAGATGTTTACACTTGAATTAAACTACCTGAAGTAAATATTTTGGAGGGTTTTACCTCCCCCCCAAAAAAAACAACTTGAAAATGTGTCCCTGTTTGGTTTGAGCATGTGAGGCACACAAGGTAACATACCCTTTGCAAATAAATTATTCTTAAGTTATAAAGCTGGAAAGTTTGCAATTTTCCTTCAGCCTCTCTGCACTCAGGGTAGAAAAGAAGGGAAAGATTACAGTTTTACTTTATGGAGTAACTATAGTCTAAAAGGTTGAAGCACCAAACTGTCTTCATCTCACTAGAAGATAGTCCACAAGTTACAACAGCAGATGACATTGGAACATTAATTTTATATTCTCCCAATTATACTTTGCTGCAGCATGGTTTGTCATACAACAGGTAATGACTTACACCTGCAGAAACATTGTGCTATTTTGTCCAGCTTAATTCCTGCATAAAATAAGGAGAGTCAGTGCACCAGAAACACTCAAATACAAGAATTGTGACAAAAGAACTAGGACCCCTGTAGTGTTCATCAGTGAATTATTTTAAGAGACTCCCTGTTGCCCAAATCACAAAAATCACATTTTGTTAATTACCTAATAACTTTTAATACCTAGCTTCTTCATAAAAATTCAATGAAAACTCATTCAACCTCCCAACATATCATGTATGTGTCACTAAAGATTAAGAAATACTCTTTAGACTATTCCTGATGCTAGCAAAAAACTTCAGTACCTCCAGCTAACGTAAAGAAAATAAAATCTCCCACATCAGACGCATAATTTAAAAATATCATTTTAGTGTATCTTTTACTTTGTTACTGTGCATAGTAATATACAACATACTTACAGCTTTGAAAGCTAGTTCCTCAGGTGAGCACACCACAGAGTTTACTTCGCATATCTGCTCTGGAAGCACAGGCATTTGCAGTGAATTTGCCACACAAGGGCTGACCTTTTTCAGAGTAATTTCAACTCCATTGAAAGTGTGCTAACAAAAATAAGAACATCTCAGCACTGAAATACAATTTTGCAAGAAAGCAATACCTTATTTAAAACAGTTTCGCTTCCTTAGAGGAACTGCAGTATTAGTGGAATAAGTTAATAAATGCAAAAATATTTGCGGTCCAAGATTCAAAGCATGTTGCAATTTACATTTTTGAACTCATGAGTATGCCAGCATCACCAGGAGATAAATCTAATAGGTATTCCCACCTTTGTGTTACCAGAGCTGAAATAATTTTTAAGAAATTGTGCAGTAAAGAAATAAAGCATATTAATATATGAGATCAAAAGTAGGGAGATAAAATTGGGAGTGAAGCACAGTAAAAAGGAAGAGGTGGAGAGGAGGTATTTTAAGATTCGGGTTTTATTTCTCATTACCTTACTCCAATTTGAGTTGTAATTAATTAATTTCTCCAAGCCAAGTCTGTTTTGCCCATAATGGTGACTGATGACTGATCTGTCCCTGTCCTTATCTTGACCCATGAGCTTTTTGTTATATTTTCTCTCCCCTGAGCAGTTCAGGAGGTGAGTGATAGAGCAGCTTTGGTGGGCACCTGGTGTCCAGCCAGGGTCAACCCACCACACCATGTAATTCCTTCCTCCAGCAAACACATAATTTTCAGATTTCTTTTTTTTTTTGGTCATTTCAGTATATTCCCACTACCGTCTCATCAGTTACCTTGCATTCCTCAGATTCTGATTCTTCCATCTTTTGAAGTTTTTCTAACAAAGGCAGTATACTGGCACTGTATATATTCCACCAGAGGGAGAGAAATGACAGTTGATGTAAAGATCCATCAGTGGTGCCATCCTGCATAACTTTCTTTGTTTGAAGGTCGTATTTGTGGTTCCAGGGCTTTCTTGCTCCCAGGAAATGAACAACTTTGGCATCTCTACCAAAACTGTAGAGATTAAACACACAGATCTATACATTAAGGTTTTTTTTTGGGGGGTAGCCTATATAAACTGCTAAAGAAACATGCTTACTCTCACTGGTGAGGTAATTTTGACATTTTGCAACAGCAACAAATTCAATATGAGTATATGTATTCATAGTTTTTTATTAGTCTCAGGGATCTTGTTTAGCATACAGAAAAAAAACTGCATTGCCATTTGCTTCCAGGTGCTGATTCTAGCAGAAAAGATCACAAAGGAAACTGACAGTCCTCCTGCACACGCTGTTCACAAATAAATACATAAAACTTTAAACACTGAATCAAGAAAATTGGTTATTAGTGAACCCATACTAATACATCACTAAATGCATCACCCTAAGTTCACTTTCCAGCAAGAGTGTTTTGTGCAACTGGAATAGTAATTCATGACACCCTAAAGCCAACTTGCCTTCTGCCAGAAAAACTTCCAGCTTCACTGTTAGAAATCATATAATTACTAGCACAATTTTTGTTTCATAGAATATCTTAAGAAATGGTTTATAAAAAAAAAACACAAACAAAAAAAACACAAAAAAAAAAAAAAGAGCCACATTGACTCTTTCCCATAGAACTGATTGGGAAAAGAAGGGAACAACTTTCAAAGTAAAGGTGTCAGAACCTAATGCTAAAGTAATCTACATCTGTTCAAACACCACAAAAGCTTCTCTGAAAAAAGACATGTGAGACAGTGGGACTCTGTGTCCAGATGCCAGACACTCTTCTTGCATTTGCCCAAGGAGGTTGTGAATGCTCCATCCCTGGCAGCGCTCAAGACCAGGTTGGACGAGGCCTTGGGTGATATGATTTAGCGTGAGGTGTCCCTGCCCATGGCAGGGGGGCTTGAACATGATGATCTTAAGGTCTTTTCCAACCCTAACCATTCTATGATTCTATGATTACTGTAATTTATAATCAACAGAATAGGCCTTTATTATTGTCTCTTATAATAGCGTGTTTGTTAGCAGACTGCAGAGGTTTACAGTCAGTCAGAAGTGTTACTACTTACTGATTGAAAGCAGGACCATAGGTGTATACAGCACTGCTGCTTAAGTTGTAGAGGAAAGGTAAGTGTTTGCCAATATCTGCTGTTGCCCAGTTGCTGAAGAAGCCATTCAACAAGCCTTGATCACCCCCTACAAAATATACAAACCAGTATTACTACAATTATTCATACACTCAAATTTACATGAAAATTTCAATCCAAGGATGGGAGTGAGACTGGTGTGTTCATGGCACTGTAACTTGGACTTGAAATTATGGCCATGTGAGCAGGTACAAGTGAATAATACCTGATCCACTCCGATGCAAGTTCAGGGTAAACGAAGTCCTATTGTAAGATACGAAGAAAGAAGTAGGAAAGGGGTTTGGTCTTCCTCAGAGCAGAAGACTGAAGATCAGCTGTATTCCTCTCTCCTAAACCAGACAGCAAAAACTTACTGAGCAAGACTAAGGTACAATGTTCCTTCATTGCCCTTTTCTGGGAAGCACAGTCCACAAGAAGTCAATGGGTCTTAAGTATACTGTAAGGGGCGCAAAGGTCTGCACCTTAAACTTTTATGGGGGCACAACTCATAAAGCCTGAAGAACTCCTGCCTTCCTCTATTCTGCCTGAGAGCACACAAGCTATGGAAAAACAGCTTACTGAGGAGTCTGTCTTGCACTTCAACCTTATGCCCTGCCCCTTACCATCAAAGCTGCCGTGTTCAGCTGCAAACTGGAGCAGTAGGTTGTAAGTTTTCAGAGAAGGTCGGAACACAAATACACCACTATTAAAGCAGTCAGGCCAGCCAGAGTCAGGAGCTGCTGAAAACTCTTCTCGATCAAACAATTCATCAACATTGCAAAGCACCTTAGAGGCAGTAGGATGAGAGAAAAAACTGTTAGAGCAAAGGTTTGTCTGGAACATGAGTTGCTAAACCAGTACCGATGGAGTGAATTGCCAGTTTGACCAAGTATATAGCTTGCAGAGCATAGAAACCAATGACAACGCAAAATATGCTAGGCATCAGAACCTCTACTTTTAATATAATAAGGCAACACTAATTGTGGTTCTCCATGATTTTTCTGCGTCCTGGGTTCAGCAGTAGCAGTCACGATAGCTTAAACCATGACACTGCTAAAAGCACAAAGCCTGTGAAATTATTTCTGAAACCTCAGAGACCCTCCAGAAGGTCCCTTTAAATATTAAAATGTACCACAAAAATACCCAATTTTCTTCTTTCTTAGCACATCTTCCCATAGTCCATTATTCTCAGTAACTACAGCAGAGCCAAATGAAAGCTGGGAATCCAAGTAATTTGAGTTAGCAACAGACTGACTGAAGAGGTACAAGAAAAACTGTCTCTTGTTACCAGTTTTCTAACTTAAGCTAAGCTCAGAGGTTTGCTTTGATTTGTTTTTTAAGCTTCACAAGGCAGTGGGAAAAATCAAAGCAGGTGAAGGCCCAGATCACTTTTAAAGTTGATGGGAAGACAGCTGTTCAGCTGCTGAAAGTCTGAGCCACTGTGGAAAGCAGGGGAAGAAATGCTTTCTAAGAGAAAGATTACTTCATTGAATTTGAAAACAACTATCACAGTATCACAGTTTCGCAGTATGCTAGAGATTGGAAGGGACCTCAAAAGATCATCTAGTCCAATCCCCCTGCCGGAGCAGGAACACCTAGATAATGTTACACAGGAATGTGTCCAGGTGGGTTTTGAATGTCCCCAGGGAAGGAGACTCCACAACCTCCCTGGGCAGCCTGTTCCAGTGTTTCGTGACCCTCACTGAGAAGAAGTTTCTTCTCAAGTTTAAGTGGAACCTCTTGTGTTCCAGTTTGTACCCATTACCCCTTGTCCTATCATTGTTTGCCACTGAGTAGAGCCTGGCTCCATCCTCGTGACACTCCCCCTTTATATATTTATATACACTAATAAGGTCACCCCTCAGTCTCCTCTTCTCTAAACTATAGAGACCCAGCTCCCCCAGTCTTTCCTCATAAGGGAGATGCTCCACTCCCTTAATCATCTTAGTTGCCCTGCGCTGGACTCTCTCCAGCAGGTCCCTGTCCTTCTTGAACTGAGGGGCCCAGAACTGGACACAATATTCCAGATGGGGTCTCACCAGGGCAGAGTAGAGGGGAAGGAGGACCTCTCTCGACCTACTAACCACCGCCCTTCTAATACACCCCAGGATGCCATTGGCCTTCTTGGCCACAAGGGCACAGTGTTGGCTCATGGTCATCCTGTCGTCCACTAGGACCCCCAGGTCCCTCTCCCCTACACTGCTCTCTAACAGGTCATTTCCCAACCTATACTGGAACCTGGGGTTGTTCCTGCCCAGATGCAGGACTCTACACTTTCCCTTGTTATATTTCATCAAGTTATTCCCTGCCCAACTCTCCAGCCTGTCCAGGTCTCGCTGGATGGCAGCACAGCCTTCTGGCATGTCAGCCACTCCTCCCAGCTTAGTGTCATCAGCAAACTTGCTGATAGTACACTCAATTCCCTCATCTAAATCATTGATGAATATATTAAATAATACTGGTCCCAGTACTGACCCTTGAGGCACTCCACTAGTTACAGGCCTCCAACTAGAGTCAGCCCTGTAGACTAAGTTGTAGTCTTCTCTCCTTCAGCCAGTTCACAGTCCACCTCACTACCTGATCATCCAGACCACACTTCCTCAATTTAGCTGTGAGGATGCTGTGGGAGACTGTGTCAAATGCTTTGCTGAAGTCAAGGTAGACCACATCCACCGCTCTGCCATCATCCATCCACCATGTTATTTCCTCATAAAAGGCTAAGAGATTGGTCAAGCATGATTTCCCCTTGGTGAAGCCATGTTGACTGCCCCTCATAACCCTCTTATCCTTGATATGCCTTAAGATGGCACCAAGGATAAGGTGCTCCATCACTTTCCCAGGGATGGAGGTGAGGCTGACCGGTCTATAGTTACCCGGGTCCTCCTTCTTGCCCTTTTTGAAGACCGGAGTGACATTTGCTTTCCTCCAGTCCTCAGGCACCTCTCCCGTTTCCCAAGACTTGGTAAAGATGATGGAGAGTGGTCTAGCAATGACTTCCGCCAGTTCCCTCAGCACCCACGGGTGCATCCCATCTGGACCCATGGATTTATGGATGTCCAGATTGCTCAACTGGTCTCTAACCCATTCCTCATCGACTAAGGCAAACCGCTCCCTTGACCTGACTTCATCTAAGGTCTCCAGGGTACAGGGCTCTTCAGGACTGCCTGCAGCAGAGTAGACAGAGACAAAGAAGGCATTCAGTAACTCTGCCATCTCTGTATCTTCTGTCATCAGGGCACCCATCCCGTTCATCAGTGGGCCTACATTGCCTCTGGTGTTAGTTTTATCTGCCATGTATTTGAAAAAGCTCTTTTTGCTGTCCTTGACCCCTCTCACCAGGTTTAATTCTAAGGAGGCCTTAGTCATCCTAGCTGCCTTCCTACATCCTCTAGCAGCAGCCTTATATTCCTCCCAAGTGGCCAGCCCCTCCTTCCATGACCTGTAAACTCTCCTCTTCCACTTGAGCATACCCAGCAATTCCCTATTTAGCCATGCAGGTCTCCTGGCCCTCTTCCTTGACTTCCTACGTGTCGGGATGCTCCGATCTTGAGCACGGAAAAAGCAGTCCTTGAATGTCAACCAACTATCTTGGGCCCCTTTACCTTCAAACAGCCTTGCCCATGGGATTTCCCCTAGCAATTGCTTGAAAAGGCCAAAGTTTGCCCTGCTAAAGTCCAGGGTTGCAATTCTACTTGCTATTCTACTGGTCCTACCACACAACATCCTGAACTCCACCATCTCGTGGTCGCTGCAACCAAGGCAGCCCTCAACCCTTACTGCTTCGACCAGACCCTCCTTGTTAGTGAGGATGAGATCCAGCAGCGCTCCTCTCCTGGTCGGCTCATCCACCATTTGCAGGAGGAAGTTATCATCCATACACTGGAGGAACCTCCTGGACTGTGGCTGGGTTGCTGAGTGGTCCTTCCAGCAAACATCAGGGAAGTTAAAATCCCCCACGACGACCACGGCCTGTGACTATGGAGGAACTATGCTTTCCTCCTTCAACTTTAACCTAAAGCAGGAAATCATAGGCCTCCCTCTCTCAGCCCATGAGAAGAATAACTTAATTTGGTTGCTAATTTAAATACAAGCTTATTAAATACAAGCTTATTAAATTAAAATGCATCACAGTCTTCCGAAGTGAAGGCTGACGTGACTGTACTTGCCCAAACTATGGCCATTTTTAGCTCTCTACTTCTGAAAAGTAATTTAAAAATATATTTTAGAAGTTACCAACATTTCTGGGTTGGTTTTATTTTCTTTTTAAAACTGGCCTCCCTTCCTAACCAAAATTCAAGCAAATATGTATGAGAGTGATCTATTATAAACATCTGTAAGAAGCCCACTTGCACAGAATTATTTTGTGATGCCTTCTGAGGACAGTCCTGAGGCTACTCTCAAACCAGGATTAATTGCTATGCAGCCAGAAAAACTGTGTACATTGCCAAAACATGCCAGCTGGAGCTCCTGCGACCTTGGGACCACCAGCAAATCTGGTCACTTCATGGGACAGCAGGCTGCTTGACAAGGAAGTATCCCACACTCAAGAGCAGTTCTTTGAGACAGACACAAACATTTCCACAGCTCCCGCTCTACTCACCAAAGTGTCTGCATCCATGAAGACACATTTGCTATAATGAGTAAGAGTCCAACAGTGAAGCTTAGTGAAGGTAACACCCAGTTCTGGCCTCTGCATCAGAGCCAAATGGACTGAATCAGCACTATCAAGCACATTCACCTCGATTACTTCGTCAAATACGTTGCGGAGGACAGATCTACCAGAGCAAGCAGTGGAGAGATGTTGAGCTGACTTCTGGCATGAGAACAGTGATATACAGCACTACATTTATTATAACAATAGATTGATTGGTTAGGATGTGAAAAGCTCTTGTTAACAGCCTGCTGAAGTGATAGGAATTTATCAGGCCATAAACCATTCTACTACCATTCTACTTTTGAGTTGTAAGCACAGCTCTGACAACTCAAAAGTGACAAGTGCTATATGGAGAAGAAACCAGTCTTTATTTTAGTTACCAAATCTTCTAGAGAAACACCAATGAAAATTAAAGCAGCTTCAATCCTGCACAATTGACTTGAAGTAACAGCACTCTACTATGTTCACTGCACATTGCACAGGATGTGGCACAGACTGCCAGCACAGACATTTACACCTGTTATGCCCAAGTATACTCAGCTTCAAAACTGTATCTCTTAAAACAGGCAGTATATGCTTGTTTACTACTACACATCCTTTAAAATGAGACTTCTAGGAACACATCTTTTTTCTATGCATATCTTTTCACGGGAATTTTATAGGGGACACCAAAGTAGGTAATTTTCCTTCAAGACACAAAAGACACTTTTTTAAACTCAGCTTATTTGTTTACATTATGCTTTTAACATTAAAGTTCCTGCATGTCATATAAACACAGAAAAATAAAAGCCTGTGCTGATTGTCTAGGTTGCAGAAGTCATTAGCTCGTCTGACTGATCTGCAAAGGGCAGTAGTTAACTGGGAAAGAGCAGGTACAGATTTTTAGAAGCATAGTTCCGTGATGTGCTTTTTTTTAAAAAAAGCTATTCTTGATTAAAAATATATTATAAAGGTTTTTCTCTCCACTGAATGGGGAGAAAAGAACCCGATGGTCTTGATATCCACCCAGGTGTCAAATGTACACAGTACTCCCCCAGGAATGTTCCAGTGTTCTGACAAAATCCATACTTCAAAAAGCCTGCAGAAACATATTCCTTCACACTTAATCACAGCAAAAATGGGAAAATCCCTTTCTTGAGCCAGATCAATTGCAAATACTTTCACATGGCATACAAAAATCAGGAACTTGCACGCTTCTTAAGCCACAGCAGAATTGAGTTTAAGCAGCTATGGCATATCATGCTCCTTTTAACAAGCAATACAGTCCTCCAAATAACAGAGCTTGAGTTCAACAGATCCATTGAGATTTATGTATAAGCAATTCCGTAGTGGCCATAAAATCACATCCCAAATTGGAAAGTGATTAAAAAGAAGTTAAAAATATATATATTTCTCATCATGATAGCCATGCATCAATATTTTAAGAAGATTAGTCATCTAAAACTGAGACCCTATGGGGTTTTTGGAGTTCTGATGTCATGGGTGGTTATGTATTGCTCTTTCTAAAAGAGAAACACTTGGGGGGGGGGGGGGGGGCAGGGGGAATAGTAGCGCCTTTATTTTGTGTCAAAGCAAAACACGAAAACTGTAGCTCCTAAACTTTCAGCTTATGTTATGTTATGGGCTTAAGATAACTTCCAGCCACAAGCTCTCATTCTGCAAGTGAATTCTTATTAGGATTACAATCTTACCATGGACATTACTTGGATCTCCTCTCAGAAATCACTAGCCAAGGGGGAACTTCAAGGCATAATGCTGTGAAATCCACAGGAAGCCTATTAAAATCTTCTATGCTGTTATTTATTCTTTCATAACATCAACCTCGAAAAATACATGAATACTTACCTCAACCCACTGGAAACCTCTGGTGTAACTAGTACTGCCAATTTTCTAGATGTTCTATGGTTCCTCAGTGACTGTCCAAGAACCAGAGCACCTTGACAATACACATCATTGGTAGCAAGGGTCACAAAGGCTTGATCCGTTACTGTAAGCAAATATTCAAAAGAGTCACTTTACAACTTTAGATCATCTCTTTTGGCAGGCTCCTTCCTCCTCCATCTAACCCACAGGCTGCAGCTTATAACAAGCTGCAGTTCCTGTGATAAGCTCTTTTCCCTCCTAAACTCCCCCAGAAGACACAACTGAGTAGAAAGCCCAGTGAATATGAGTGCAGAATGTATGTCTCTGAATTTTATTATGTTTTGTTTGCCTCATTTACATAATAACAGTTATGAAGTTTTTGGACTAACCTTAAACAAATAATTACCCGAGTCTTATTTCCTAAATACAGTGACAGTCAAAAAAGCCAAACTGTGAATATTTAGATTTTACGTTTAACTAACACAGTGTAATACAACTGATAAGGAGAATGTTCCTGTTTATATAGTACCAAAAGCTAAGGAAACAACTGCGTGTTAAGTATAGCCAGAAACATCTTTCTTTCCATAATGTCACTAAATCAACACAACAGGCATTATTCTTTGCTCTGTCCTCTTTGTACTGGAGTAACTGGTGCTGGCTCAAATGTACCTAGAAGCTAACGATCCCTACCTCAAGTAGCTCTAAGAAAATCAGAAGCGTTCCTTGTTGTCAAGAAACACATGGGAAAAAATGTTGCAATATAAAAGAAAGCAAGCTGCAAGCTGGCACGACAGGAGACATAATGTATATTGCAGAGATACTAGGCATGTGGCAGTATCACCAGGGGCTTCAGCTTCAGCTCTGACCTCTGACAGAACCACTGCTATTGGGGTTCTGGGGAGAGCCAGAACCTATGATTCAGCAAGGTGAACAGCCTCCTCGGAGCAGAAGGAAGACTTCAGCATTCTAGGCTGCAAAATTAACCAGAACAAGATGAGCTGGTCACACAGATGAGGGGAATTCCACTGAGCTCTACAGACCTTCAATAAATACTTGTTTAAATCCACCATCATCTTAAGGGACAAATAAATTAAAGGAACCAAACAATAACAACAACATAAACACCCTGTCATACAGTTTCCAGGCTCTGTGAGAGACACTAGGAAAGAATCTCACAGAACTAGTTGCAGAGAACTCAGCAAATGACCTCATGGCTGCCTCAGCCAGATGCTGCCAAAATGAACATGTTCAAACCTCTCACTTAACATCAAGGTATGCAGTGAAGGATGGTGAGTGCTGCTGACAAGCTCTAGGGTACTAACATGTCCTCCAAATCCAGAGCAAAGCACAGACCCACTGGTATGCTGTCTTCTTCACCCTTTTTTGCCTTACTTCCCATTCATCTCCAGCCAGACCTTAATTCAAATCAGGCACATACATTTGCTGACACTGTAGCAGATTCCTGCACCTCATGAAAATTCCACTAGTGTTGGCCAAAAAGAATGAATCATCCATCCAAATTTAAACCAGTTCACAGGTCCCTTTTACCCCGTAAAATAGTTTGCAGGCTGAGAGAGGTGGGGGTGTTCAGCCTGGAGAAGAGAAGGCTCAAGAGAGACCTTGTAACAGTCTTCCAGTACCTAAAAAGGGCCCACAAGGAAGCCGGAGTGGAAATTTTTAGAAGGTCATGTAGCAACAGGACAAGAAGGAATGGCTTTAAACTGAGAGAGGGGAGTTTTGGATTACACAGTAGGAAAAAAATAGCTTTACTGTGAGGGTGGTGAGGCCCTGGCACAGGCTGCCCAGAGAAGCTGTGGATGCCCCATCCCTGGCAATGTTCAAGGCCAGGCTGGATGGGGCTTTGAGCAACCTGGTCTAGTGGAAGCTGTCCCTGCCCATGGCAGTGGACTGGAACTGGATGATCTTTGAGGTCCCTTTGAACCCAAACCAGTCTGTGATTCTATGATCCCTCAGCTAAGCAAACTCCTGCAACATTTTTAATCACAATTTCCAGAAGAAGCAAATGAAAAAGGGAGCTTTCAAATCTCCTGTTACCATAATGGCTCAAGCAAGTTATGGGTGTTCCAGAAATAATGAATAAGGAGTTGCTTACATGGAGTGTTTTAAAAGGACAGTTGTGCAAGTAAACCACTTCTACTGCAGTTTTCCAAAAGGTTAAGCAAATAATCTAAGCATACATAAAAACCAATGCAAAACAAAACCACTGAAAGCTACTTTAGCAAAAAAATTATTCTCAAAAGACACAAAGAGTCAGCAAAGAAAAGCACTTTTGGCAACAAGCATCTTCAGCCAAATAAAGGTAATAAAACAGCCACTGAGAGGAATGTGGGAGGTGGGTTAATACAAAAAGCAAACTGTTAAATAAGTGGGAGTTTAAATCTTAAAATACTGTTTTAAATAACAGCCACAAAACTGAACATATAATCTTCTTATTGCTTCTGCATATTCTTTTAGCTAGAGAAGCTAAATCTTTACCTAAGTAATACATATAAAAATACACAAGCTACTCATCAAATAGTTCAGTGAGCTGGTACGGTGAATTACCACATCCTACATATACTTTCATGCCCTGTACTGCTGGGGCAAAGGCTGTGGTCAGAACCACAAGGAAGCAAATTGCCAAAAAATACAGCTCCTAAGAAACTCTGGCTAACACCTCACACAGAAAAGAAGCCAATTGTCTGGTTTGAGAATCAGATGTGGGATACATATTATGGCCTTCCTAATAGAATGAACCATTACAGAGATAATTAAACTATGGACTGCAACCATGCAACATTAAAATATTCCTGGTGCAAAGACAGAGGCACATCCTAGTCATTTTAAAAACATACAGGGGCATCACTGACCTCCTAAGAATCCTTACGGAGATTTAAAAAAAAAAAAAAAATAAAAAAAGATTCTGTCATTAATTGTTCTTTCATCTAATCCCCATTTTCAAGGAAGAAAATTGGACTTGCCTCATTTATGATGTTTAACCATGCCACGTGCAAGGTCTACACCTGGGTCGGAGCAATCCCAGGCATAGCTACAGGTTGGGTGGAGAAGAGATTCAGAGCAGCCCTGCGGAGAAGGACTTGGGGGTGTTGCTCAATGAGAAAATGAACATGAGCCAGCTTCAGTGTGCGCCCACAGCTCAGAAAGCCAGCCGTATCCTGGGCTACATCAAAAGGAACATGACCAGCAGGTTGAAGAAGGTGATCCTGCCTCTCTACTCTGCTCTCATGAGACCTCACCTGGAGTATTGTGTGCAGTTCTGGTGTCCTCAACATAAAAAGGACATGGAACTGTTGGAACAACTCCAGAGGAGGGCCACGAGGACGATCAAGGGGCTGAAGCACTTCCCATATGAAGACAGGCTGAGAAAGTTGGGGCTGCTCAGCCTGGAGACAGAAGGCTGCGTGGAGACCTCATAGTAGCCTTCCAGTATCTGAAGGGGCTTATAAGAATGCTGGTGAGGGACTATTCATTAGGGACTGTAATGATAAGACAAGGGGTAATGGGTTCAAACTTAAACAGGGGAAGTTTAGGTTAGGTATAAGGAAGAAGTTCTTTACTGTGAGGGTGGTGAGACACTGGAATGGGTTGCCCAGGGAAGTTGTGAATACTCCATCCCTGGCAGTGTTCAACAGCTGGAGAGAGCCTTGGGTGACATGGTTTAGTGTGAAGTGTTCCTTCCCATGGTGGGGGGGGGGTTGGAACTTGACAGTCCTTTCGAACCCTAACTATTCTATAATTCTATGATTCTATAATGTTCTTTGGAACACTGACCCTGTAAGTAAATGTTTTATTTTTATAACTTACAACTAAGGATCAGGTTTTCAGATACAGTTGTGAAAGTACCCTGTTTAATCTGAAAATTCCAATTTAACTGAAATCAAGGGCAATACTGTGTTGAATCTAATCTATATAGGGTTTCACTCACTGACTAAGCTGTAAAAGAATATTTGATCTTTCAAGTTTGAAAGCCAAAGGTGTAGGAAACTAAAATTCATTGCAGCTGGATTTTGAGGGTTGTTTGCTTGTTCGTTTTTTTTTTCTGTAAGTGTCAAGCACACCATTATGCATAACTTTCAATTCCATGTGCTGAATGACAATTGGATTTTTCACAGAAAATACCTAGTGTGAACAATATTAAGTTTTCAAGCAAATTGTTTTCAAGCTGTGGAACCCTATGGCTAATACCATTAATGCTTAGTGAATTACAAGAAAACTAAGTCTATGATTAGAATCACATTAAACCCATGTTGTATGAATTTATAAATCTGCTCAATTCTCTTGTTTGGAATGCCACACAGCACATCAAGATGCAAATTCAGAAATCATTATTCTCAGCAGTGGCTCCTCAATTTTAATACCTAGCAATAGTTGCTTGGAACAAACCAAGGATTTTCAAGCAAGTAAGGTGAATTATCTTAGCACCCACTCTGCAGCTACAGATAGCAACAAAGACAAGAGAGTAAAAGTAATACAAATCAATACAGTCAGGGTGATCTTACACGAAACTTTTTAACAGGATGCTTTAGCCAAGGATCACCAACTTCTTATGATACTTACTCATAGGAGTACCTCTGACACTGCCAGAGACAAAATTCTTTAACAGGCCTGAAAAACAATTCCAGGGCAGCCAAAAGCCTTACTTAGAATCTGCACCAGCAAGCAGACAGGGTGGTGCTCACTTTGATGTTCAAAGAAATGAGAGAGGGAATGAATAAACACTAGGTACCCACTGAGAATCAGCACTGACTCATAGTAACAAGCACTGAATGAACCACATGCACCTGTGCACCTGCCAGCTTCAAGACATGTTTCAGTGGGGTAGGGTTTATTTCCATAATTCACTAGACATAGCTTTTAAAACATATTTTGGTCTTTCTTCTGATAGAGAAAGTATAAATGTGCTCTAGCTATGGCTCCTGGAGTAATGACTCAAAAACGCCAAGTTGTCCACTCTGAAATTGCAGTAGGAGACCAGAGAGTCATATGCTTTGACTTTCCTGCAAGTATATTCTAAATAACACATTGCCCTCTTATGCATAAGAGTACATAAATCAACAGCTATAATCCTCCAAGAGGCTGGTTAGGTCCCCAGTATGTACTGCCATTCATGCAAGCGTTGCATAACTGCTTGCTTAAATTCCTCCTTGGTACTATCTGCTGCTCTTTTGTCACCTCCCTGCTTCTACTTCAGACACAACCTGCAGTACAGGCAGGCTGCAGTCTGGACCTCTGCCTGCCAAGCCCAAAGTGCTTTTCTGAAATCCCGAGTGACAATGACATAACACAGCCCCAACTCACTGCATGTTCTCTAGCAAGTTTGTTACTCCTTCCCACACATAGGTCTCTGTATCCTCGCCCAGAAGCACATCTCAGTGAAGATGTGTTAGACTACGGCAAAGATACAGAAAGCTACAGGCCTTCTCACCTCTGGCCCAGCATAACCATAACTGAAGCATTTGGCACAGAAAGCTTTACTCCAGCTGCCACCCACAACCTTAAGAGCAGTATAAATACGTAAAATGAATAACGATGCCAGACAATAACCTGTGTCAGACCACCATCAAAAAACATTGTACAAGTTCACAGCAAAGAGGCAGTTCTCGCCCTAGTAAACAAATGACAATTTTAATCCCCATGCTTCCCCTAGAAGTAGAAATGTTTCTACCTATTGGCCTGGGTCCAAGAGTAGAAACATTTACGTTATAGATGAAGGTGGTACAGCAACACTTTACACAGACCTTTTTCTTACAGAATAGAAATTCACATTTGATGGCATGCAATATTTCTCTTGGTCTAACAAAGTTCTGCCTGATCCAAAGCCAGATTCTTTCTTATCCTTTATTAAAGCAATGCTGAATTCTACTAGACAGGATTACAACTATTATCTTGGAAGGCTACAGAAAGAGGACTTATTTCTCAATTTCTGGAGCTTTTGCTATGTATATTTCAGATAAGAACTGTTACATTCTCCTTCAAGACCCTGCAGTTTCAGCAGAGACTGAATGATCCTTCTGAAAACCCAAATGCAACAGTATTATAACATGCAAATAAGTGTAACAAATCAGCACCCAAAGCTAGTCCCAAAACAGTAACGTGCCAATTTGAAAACAAATAGTTAAAATTGCCTAAGCAATCCAGGGACAGCTCAGAGGACTCGATACGTTTCAAGTTAGATGTTTCCAGTCTCTTCCCACGGTGTTGAGGTGCCACGTACACAGATTCAAACTCGGGATCCTCAAGGCCAAATGCCCCAGGTAGGTGTCTGTGATAACCTCCAAATGGTTTAGAGCTCTAAACCAGTCCCTCATGGCTTTAAGGACATCTGAATAAAATCAGTACCACTGGAACATAAAATGGGCTGTGAGAAGGACTTTTCTGAGCCTGCCTCAGGCCGAGGGGGCCCACCCTGATCTGTCACCCTGCAGACGCCTCAGGAGAGCACACAGAGGCCTGGGCAGGCCAGCCTGTACCTACAAGCAGGATACATAAATGAGTTCAGCTCTTCCATCCCACCAGCCAGACGGTTTAAATCCTAAGGTGCGAGTGCTAATTACAGCAAAGCGGTCTGCGATAATCAAACAGCGGAGACCCCCTCCCGCCCTCACCGCAGGCCGCGGGGGGAACCGGTCTGTGCAGCCCCACGCCGCAAGCACGGCTGACCACAGCGGAGCGGTGCGGGGACACGCGAGGGCAGCCCGTGAGACAAGAGCCCGGCGGCAGGGCCCGCGGTACTCACCGGACATCCTGCGGCCGGCGCGGGCAGCCGGACAGGGGCACAGCCCGCGGCGGCACCACCTCCACCGCCTCACCTGCTGGCGGCAGGCCCGCTAAGTGGCGCGATGGGATTAGCCTCTTTCCTGCTGAAGACGGTGGTACGTGAACTACATCCGCAGGGGCTCCTGCGCAGCGGCCCACAAACGACATTAGCGGCAGAGACCGCTTGGGAGGGTTGGCAAGACCCACCCACCCATCCCGACCCCCAGGAACTGACTTTACTGCAAAAGGCCGTGCCCCCCTCGCCCGCTGCCCCGTGGTGCGCTCCCGCAGCGCCCCGCTTCTGAGGCCCCGGCAACCACCACAGCCCCAGCACCTGCTGCTGCTCCGTGACTAACCCCCACCCTGCACCCTCACAGCCCCACGGGAGGATGAGGCATCGCGGCGCCTCCTAGCCGTGAGGCGCAGATGTCTCGCCCCATTGGCTGCTGCGCTGCAGCGCCCACCCCTCCCGCCCTGCGCTGGCGGTGGCTCCCCGGGGTGCTGCCGTCACGGCGGGGGCTGAGGGGGGCTTCCTTTCTCTTTACTTTTCCCCTTCCTCTTCTGCTTTTCCCCTTCCCCTTCCATTCCCCAGAGAGAAGCTGGGGGATACTCTACCGTGCAGCCCTTTAAGGAAAAAAACACCGATGCCGTCACTGGAGAGAATGGCAGAGCGTGGAAAAAAGATGTCGGCGCATGACTAGGATGAGTCCAGCCTGACCTATGGTAACCCAGACACATGGGGTTCACCCTGAGTTAAGGGAATCTGCCCCTTAGCTTCTTCGGAGCCATCATAAGCCTGAGGCTACATACACAGTCCGGTAACTTGTCACCCAGATAAGTAAACAGATGTTTTCAGAGACATTGTTCAGTTCAGAGGGCAATATATATATTTTCAGAAATACACACGTAAATGCACAGATATTTGCACAACGTGGTTTTGAGGTAACCATTACATGTAATTTAGACACACAGCCTCTCTGCAAGGTAAGTTTAGGCTAATGTGGTTCAGCCAGGGCATTTCTGCATCCAACTGTTCTGTGGACATCAGTAACTGCTTAGCAGAGGGCTGCGATGTAAGGCAGTGTGCCACCAAAGAAAATGCACATACTACTCAACTATTTAAACCATTACTTCCAACAACTTGCCATCAGTGTTGCCATTCCAAGGTGTAATATTTATTCTCTCACACACTGGAGGTATCCTAAAGGTCTACTGAAGAAGAGGATGTCATTGCTTTGGTAGTGGCAAGGTGTTTGAGGAAGGAAGGACCTAAATGCGTAGGAAATCAAGTTTTACTTATCCCACAAAAACAAAAACTTTGGGAAGTGTGTTCATCATCTGTTTATATAGACAGGTCAACTAAACTGCACTTATGAGTGTCAAGGTCTCTGTTGTGGATAATTTTACTGTCAGATCTGTTTCGGTTGGGGGACTTCATAAACACCAAAAGCACTTCCTTGGTAATAAAAGCAATGTCTACATTTAGATGATTTTCTGTTTCACTTGTACGCCAGACAACTTTTTATGATATAGAACAGATTTAGAATGTCAGAACCAATAATACAAGCTACAGTTCTTCTGATGGTCTGACAACCGGTTTGTATTCCTTCCTTCCCCTCACAATTTAAATGCATTAGAACTTCCCTACATACCACCCCCCCCCCAATTAGCTGAAATAATAGTAATGTTAATTATTAAAATTAGTATAAAATTGTTATTATTATCATCATCATCCTAGTTAAAAGGGGAATTAACACTGAAAAGTGTGCCTGCACACTTGTATACTGATTGACTGTGTGTTGATGTAATTAGACCAAAGAGCTTCAGAGGTTTAAACCCTTGGGTGGGCAGGATTGACCAACTCATGTTCATGGGGTTTGCTCAGATTCTCTATAACAAAATCTGCTTTTTTGTTAATACTATTAACACAAGTAAGAAATTCCTCTGAAAGTAAACAAATTTAAATAAATTATAATATTTCAAATGCAAAAATGTTGGTAATGCATCCAGATCCTTCTCTGGACACTGCTCCTGCGGGGAAAAATAATCTAAAAAAAAGAATAATTTCAGCTGTTTTCTCCTCACCCTCCATCCCCCCCCCAATTCCTTAATTTGAAGCATTTTTTTCTTTCCCCTATGTAGGACATAGGTGAATTTGTATGTAAAAGCTATCAGCTGGCATATGTCCAGAAAGTAATGAAACAAACAAAACTCAGATCATCTTAGATAAAACACAGTATGTGTTTATTGAGAATTCTCAAGAGAAAGAAGAAAATACTTTCATTGTTAAACAACTGACGTGGCAACACTAACTTTTCATTAATCAAAACTTTATGTCCACCCAGCAAAATAGACGTCAATCTGTTTTAACTTTCAACATTCAAAATTAGTAAAGAAATATCAAGTGTCCATGAAAACCCCATTAAAAAGATGTTCTCATTCACAAGTTGAAAGTGATAGCCACAAAGTTCCTCATTTGGTTTTTGTGTTGTCAAAATGCTTCCGTATTTAAACTGATGTATATTAGAATTTCTTACCTTCAGGATCAAATTAAGATTATGGTAATATCCTCAGTAACTGCTATGTATCCATTTCATATATACTTTAAATAAGATGGTATTTGACTTTATGAGAAGAGTAATTTTTCAGATGATGTCTTTCAATAATTTAATAAACACAAAATCATGCTTACCTCCATCTAAATGGAATTTCTGTCAGAAAAAGCATCCTACACATATAAAATGGAGATATAAACACATGGAGTCCCTCCGTGCTTTGAAGAGTTTTCTAAAATGCCTGTATTGCAGAATTACATTGGTGAACTACTAGTTTGTCCAACTTTCATCTGTATGTCATTCATTTGCTAGTATTTTGAATCAGTTACTGAAATTAAGGCACAGAGACTGGAAAAGTGTTAATTTTTGTTGATAGATTTGTCTACACAAGGACATTTGTTAACATGGCGAGGCTGATCAAGAACAAGGGAAAAAGATGAAACAGCCTTGTGGCAAAACTATCTCAACCATACTTGCATATATGTATGAAGTTTAAAAATTGGTGTGACATAGATTTTATGGAACAAAGTGTCACAGACTCATTCTAAACGATTCAGAAAACTTTGTACCTATTTCTCCTTTACATATATTATGAATAATATGGTTCTTTCTTAAAAAAAACAAACAAACAAACCATGGCAGATTAATGCTTTTGAAGGCTCTTAGAGCAAGGCCTAAGTTTTCAAGAAGAGAAACAAAATTTACATCAGATTCCAGCTCCTGAGAGAATCTAAACATCATTTCAGTAATAAATAAATTAATAAATAAATAAAATCAACAAGTGTTCCTCTCATTTTTTATTTTTTTAACAGTGGTTTATCAATTTACATGTTCTTTTCATGCAATATTTTAAAATTAAGAATTAATTTTCCACCTGTAACCCTTTTCACTTTGCTAGAATTCAGACATAAACATAAAGGAAAGGCACTCAATTTTTTAATCCTTTATACAACTTCCAGTTTTACTTAAACATTATAGAAAATACAGAAATATCATAGAATCAGATGAATGATAAAATGGTTTGGGTTGGAAGGGACCTTAAAGTTCGTCTAGTTACAACCCCCTGCCATGGGCAGGGACACCTTCCAGTAAACCAGGTTGCTCAAAGCCCCATCCAACCTGTCCTTGAACACTTCCAGATAGGGGGCAGAGTGGGCATCTATATACTAAATATACTAATGAAACCCAACATGTATTAATGGAAATGTCAATTTCCTTATTCCTATTCTATCTGAAGTATTAAGTATTTTGGGTAATTTTAAATATCAGGAAAAAAAAACCCCTGTTCAGTGACTCAAATGCTCCCAAACCAAAATATTTCCATCTTTAGCTTATATTAAATTTGATTTCTTTGTTGCTTGAAATAACTTCTGAATCAATACAGGTTGGAGAGCTCAATAGAATCCCTGGATGTTTTAATCATGTCTTTGATGACATAAAGCTCAGGGTGCAAGAGGGACGTCAGATGAAAGGGAGCAGGACTGCAGGGTCTCAACAAAACGTTCATTAGAGGAAGATTTCCTTTTGTCGTGTGAGAAAGTAGAAAAACACTGTCAGATCTGTGGGCCAGATGTCACCCATCAAAGGAGACTGTGATCAGAGGGCAATTCTTCTTCCAGTGATTTAGACTGTAGCCCCACCTGAAAGATGAAGATTGAACATTCAATGTGTCCATGATGGATGCTCTTTGCCAGGTTTTTGGGCTCTATTTGCCTCAGTTCTGGTAAGACAACAGGCAGGAACCTCATATCTCCAGATATGTATAGACAGCCCTCCCCATTTTTTCTCACTTCACATTTCCAGAGTTACATGGGATTACTGACATGACGCTTTACTTAAACCACGGCCATTCAGACAAAGGAAAATAAGAAACTGTTGGGACCCTGATGGCACAAAAATCTGTTTGTGATGATAGCCTTCACAGTACTGACCAATCTATCCCAGGGCATCTCAGGCCATGCTCTGGCTGGATCTCCCCTTCCCAAGCTTTACCCCAGCGCCTAGGAAGCAGTGGCTGCACAGAGCCCACCATGGCATCTCCAGGCTGAGTCTTTCTGAATCACATGGGGATTCCATATCTCTCAGTAATGCCTGTGGAGCTGCACACACCTCCTGTGTCTCACTCATATCATAATTGTTAGTCCCATTATAGAACAAATAAGGTGAATTAATGGTTTGAATTGACCTCTATGGCAAGGGCAGGATGCCCACCAGGCCAAAGCTGAAATGGGGGCCCCAGCCAGAAGGTACATGGGGTGCCCCAGGTGAGGCGCAAACAGAGCCACAATAGTCAGTTACCTCTGTGGTGGCAGATACTTCACATCATGTAATTTTCTTCATAAAGAGACTTACATCCAATTTCTGACCACATTATGGCTTCCTATACTTGTCCTTGATGAAGAACATTAAAATTACCACTCTCTCTTACCACAGAGGGTTTTTAGAATGAGATTTTCAAATGCCCTCAGCCCTGAGCTTTTTCTGCTCCCACTGAAATTGTCTGTAAAATTCACATCTACCCCACCACTAAATCATCATGGGAAGCTGGAAACTGATTTGGTCTTACCCTGTGGTTTGAAACAAAGTTTCTTGTTCTTGTAAGCAGAGTAGGCTGCTATGGATCCAACAACCAGTATTACAAAAGCAGAAATTATAGGAGATGTAACTCCAGCTATTAATCCTGAATCTGTAGAAAAAGTAAGGAGTTCTTTTTCAGAGACATCAAAATGGTTTCACTTACGTGTATTCTCTACTAAGGTATGCTTTTGCCAAACTGTGAGAATTGTTTCGTGAAACATTAGAAAT